TAAACAGTTGCGGTACAAGTTTTGATAAAACAGCGATACCGTGAAATATTTGTTTGGACAGATTTATACGAAAAATTAAATTTGAACCCATCAATCACAATCATTTTTTTACCACGTTTACTCGTTATGAATTCCATAATATTCCAATATATTATTCAATAATTAATAGACGTATATAATATTCACGGTTCACGTGGACTCCTAATTTCGTCGTTGTTACTACAGTACTCACAGATCTGATCACAGAAYTCCGATCCCGATAACACGGACACTGCAGATATATCTACACGYGATATAGATTAAATCGATTTATATTTATTTTTAATATTATATAGGTATTTCTACRTTTAAAATCAATTATCTCTTTATGATATCTTCAATATACAATGGATTATCGACATGGTACATTATGTACATCGATGGTCGATAGCACTACAGACAGACTAGGGGTTCTCAAACTCCAGCTCAATAATATAGGTAGAAATAGATTTGGCGGAAATGAAAATCAAACCTTTTTCGTTTAGGCGGAAACAATAATTGGCGGAAACGAAAATCGAGTTTTTTGGCGGAAACGATGACCGCCCGTAACCACTAACTATCCTGTTAAATTTTTGAATACGCTGGGTTAACCAGAAATGCCACTACATAACTTGCAATAAAAAATTGACTCACCTATCATTTTGCTTAGGAATTTAAATACACCTAAGCTATGCAACGGTACAAGATTAGTCATAAAAACAATTATGAGCAATGCTCTTGAAGCTACGATTTTGAACGGCAAATTTGAAGGTGAAGCTGTTCTCCTGCCACAATCCCAATGATCCCTTCAACTCACCCATTCTATTCAAACGTCTGAAATTTCCAATTCGCTTAGCATTTGTTATGACTATTAATAAGTCACAAGGTCAAACAATGTCGATTTGTGATTTGAATTTAGAAAATCCGGTCTTTTCACATGGCCAATTATATGTGGCGTATTCTCGCGTTGGAAACCCGTCAAGTTTATTCATTTATACTCCTCAGGAATTGACTAAAAATATTGTTCATCAACTCGCATTAAGATAAAATTAAACAAACATTATTGATTATAACGTATTGTTTTTAGAAAAATTGATGTTATTTGTCTTTTATTTCATACTTTGTTTAACATCCTAATCGCTTGAAATATCATGCAGGGCTACGTCTGTCGGGTCCGCTAGTAATCGTTTAGTTTTATAATAAAATATATAGTTATTTGCACAGATGAAAAATGATATAAAGCCGTTTCAGAAACATAAAAAAATAAAACATTGACAATTTGACATATATTTTCACCCACTTGTGTACACAGTAATTAAATAAGCAATTATAATAACTAAACTTTTTTATCTCTAATATTTACAGTGATTTTTTTTTATACATAAATGAATAACTCAAATCTAAACTATTCATATGTTCATACTTCATTTATCCGTGTTACCTATTGTCTATTACTATTAGATATTCCAATTTAAAAATATACAGGTGTAATAATTGGTTAATGAGAACAAACATATACATTAAGTACCAATATTACTAAAATATGATTATATGAAAACGTGTCATAATATCGTAATAATGCATCATTTATTATTTAGAAGCTAAATAATTATTAATTTAATCATATTATTATGGTGCCTTATATAGTTATAACTTTATAAGTTTATAACATATATCGTCTAACGTAAATCTTTTACAATAATTTAAATCTAAAAAATAATAATATAGTGGTTTAATTTATAAATTATTGATCATGAATCAATGCTTAACCTACCTACCTAAGCAGTGCATATAATAAGTTATGGGCCATCAAGAATATTTTATGTAGGTACCTAATACCACCTACAGTAAATTAATAACTTACCTAATAAACAATCAAGCAATTTATTATTTATCGAAGGAACATAATATTATAATGGGAGAATTTTAAATTTAAATTTAACAATGATATAAAAATAAACTTATCATTTGATAAAGTAGACAGTAGTAGCGAGTAGGAACTATAAGAAGGGTTTAAACTACTAAATATAATTAACCATTGTTTCCTGTAGTTCCACAAACGCTAAAGAATAATATTTTGGGGGATAAACGATCATAAACGTTTAAACACAATGACCCAATCCAGTATGTTTTAGTAGAAATATACACAACGTTTGAAGCAGGGGCGTACTCGAGGGGAGGGGGGGGTGAACCTCCCCCATGACTTCTCTAACCTATGTAGTCTTGTGCGTTCGTGCTTATATATAATATAATTCACAGGAGCAATTTTCTAAAAAAAAATTTTTTTAACAAAATTTTTAAAAAGAAGGTGACAAAGTACAGTGGATAAAAAGCAAAATGTTCAA